CACACACGATGAACTAGGAAACAAGACAGCTGTGTGCAAAGACCATGGATCCGATGTAACAGACAAGAGGCAGTTAAGAACTATTTAAAACGGCCTCCCAACAGCTCTCCCTGCTTTCCCCTTGCCTCACCAACCCTGAACTCTGCAGTGCCACTAGTTATCTTCCTGAAACAGCCTGACTAACGAAATTCCCCTCCTCAGAAGCTATCGTGGGCTCCCCATGACCCAGGAAATACAATTTACAGTCCTTCTACTGTTAACATTAGATTGTCTCTGTCTGGGTACAACACTTTGCCTGCAGAGGACACGACTGGATCTCTCTACTAGAGCATCAGCATAGTGCTGTGATGATGGTCTTTTACCAGTTAGTTGCTGGTCCTCTCATAGCTTATGTTTCTAAGACCAGCCCCCTATGGGAGTTGGGAAGGTACTTTCTTATTATCTGTACAACACAGCATAGACTATACTTTGGGTCAGATAAGACCTAGGGTTCAAATCCCACCTCCAACATTAACTAGCTGTAAGACTGCGAATAGATTTCTAAATCCCTCTGAATCTGTTTGTCTGTAAAATGGGGATGATGAATATAATCATCATTCTGATTTTATATGGTTGCTGTGGACTTTAAATGAGACGATCTTGTTTAGGACCAGGCCCAGGGAAAGCACTTAATAGCCACCAGCTCTTTTCATCTTTTCATTGAAGCCAAAATGCATTTTTGGTGAACATATATGGCAACCACCTCAGGGCTAAAACAGATGTTATTGGGGAGCCACAGACCCCTTCCCAACTGACTTAGATAATCACTGATGTTTCCCTTGCTGAGACAACAAAAAACCTTCCTTTTTCATTCCTCGGTCTACTCTCCAGCTAATCCTGAAATTGCGTGCAACCCAACGTGAGTCAAACAAAAAAGGAAAATAGTAATTATGCTGAATCAAACATTTTATATTTGTATGTTCTAACTAGAGATTGAGCTGCATAAGCCGGAACTTTTACCAAGTTCTTTTTTGAGCATGTCCAGGAGATAGTCCCTGTACTACTTGGGACAATTTCTATACTGACAGGTGAGAAAAATCACAAGTTCTCTGCAAAATCCAACTCATCTACTTAAAGTAGGTAAGAGGGAATACAATTCTTGAAGACATATGCTGTGTGTCTTACATGGAATAATCAACGCAGTATCAGAAAGTATTCCTGGGGCTTCCCTGGTGGCGCAGTGGTTGAGAGTCCACCTGCCGATGCAGGGGACGTGGGTTCGTGCCCCGGTCCGGGAAGATCCCACATGCCGCGGAGCGGCTGGGCCCGTGAGCCACGGCTGCTGAGCCTGTGCGTCCGGAGCCTGTGCTCCGCAACGAGAGGCCACAGCAGTGAGAGGCCCCGCAAAAAAAAAAAAAAAAAAAAGAAAGAAAAAAAAAAAAGTATTCCTACTTCTCCAGCACATGTTTTCCCATGTAATCCTAACATACCTTATGTGATTCCCTCAGAGGTACACATGTGAGCATGCGTGCACACTCACAGGTGCACTGGTCATGAGCGTAAATGGGAACAGGAAAATAAAAACTCCCAAATCACACCTGTGATGCAAAGTTCTCCTTGGTATCATTCGATGTCACTGTGGAAGGGACCTTTGGCAAGGTGAAGTAGGTTTCTAACCAACTGCCTCACTCTTCAAGACAATTACAAGCAAAGATTAGATTAGTAATAAATGCCAATTGTTGCATATCCTTTATCCTGTCCTTACGGAGGGAGGTGCAATGAGAATGGTAAGATTTTACAATTCCTTGTTATAAATACTATTTTTTTTTTTTTTTTACTATTGAACTACCATTAGTAAGTTAATATCCTAGTCCCAAATCCCTTCTCCCTTGAACTCCCCGGGTACTCCTTTCTCATCTGTACCACTCATATGGTCCTTATTGCACACCATGTTGTATTCCAATCGTGTGTGTGCAAGGTTATCTCCCTATTACCTGGGAAGGTCCTGGTAGCAGAGGCCCTCCCGTCCTTCTTGCTGCCCCCATGATGCTAAGCACAGAATATCGCACACAGTAGGTCCTCCAAAAGATATGCCCATTGAAGCTGAACAAAAACCCATCCTTTGTGTTAAAGATCCCTTTTGATCATGGCATCTGGGCTACACATTATTTGGTTAAGTTCAGGGGTCAAGTGGATAGGCAATGCAGGACCTAGGTCGGAGCCCTGTCAGCATGGTGTACTCCCCGACACCCTTGTGAGCACATCAAATTATCTTAATTATAATCTAAAAAGACTGAACCGTTCCTTAAGAACGTGGAGTATTCTCAAAACCTCTTCAAACCTCTAGAAGGCAAGTGCAAGGCCATCAAGAATCAAACCTTAAACTTGGGGCTAGGCACCCAGACACTGTGACCCTTTGCCTGGAAAACAATCCTGGACTTTTTGCACTTAAGAAAACATACGCACACACCCCCAACCAAAGAAAGTGCCTGGCAACTAATTCATTCAAGTCGCTACGTTGAGTATGCTCTCCCAAATGACCAAAATTATCTGAGTGGAGCCCAGGGAAGACAACGACAATGTATGCAGCTGGAGAGGCCAGGGTGATGGTAAAGATTACCCCGTTTCTATACTGGCCGTCTAAAGGTATTTACTTGGGTCTGTCTGTGTTGTGACAGTGTCCTAGACTCAAATGAATGCCTCTAACACTCCACATTTTTGAGCCATTCAGTCATGCATTTTTGTTATTGTTGAAAGTGGTGCGAAATTGCACTGCATGAGCTAAAGTCCTTGGTGGTCTTCCAAGGATTCCAGCTAAAAAGGCACTTCCTTTGTTCCTCGGGAGAATGCAGTCCAGTAGGTCATTCAAAAGGGGAAATAAAAGCAGCAGCCCTGGGAGGGAGATGAAGGACAAGACAAAAAGAATAAAATGTTTTGGGTGTGAGCACATTAGCTTCCATTTCCTGCTGCTGGTCACTAATAACGCTCTTATCTTTAGGGGGAATATGTCCAGAGAAATATTTATGCAAAAACATTCCTCAGGTGTTTTCTGGGGACCATGACAATCAAAGGGAACACCTAGCACTGTCCTTGGGCACCCTTCAAACTTCATTTTTCCTGAGATGCTGGCGGGGGAAGATGTCCTGCCCTTGCAAGCCTGCACAGAACACAGCTGGAGAAAGTGGGGAGGACAATTTCACAGCCCACTCCCCGAACGCCTCCAGTCCACCTCAAAGGCACATATTGTTTTGCATGAGCAGAAGATGAAAACTTGTCACGTTCCCATTAAGTGCATCGCTGCATCTATCCCTTCAAAATGTGGGAATGACAACTGTAACCTTCACGCCAATCATCTCCACTGGGCCCCGGGCCCAAACCGTGCAGGGCACAAAGACCCCAGGTCTGACCTGTGGAGCCCCCAAGCTTCAGTGGCTACTGGCTCAACTTTACTTTTTCGAGCGGGGCGGAAGGGAGAGGGGAAAGAAAGAGGGCTTCTTGGGGCTCTACAACCAATAAAATCGTGCCGCTGTGAAGACAGACGTGAGCTCCCCAAAAAACAAGCAGCTCAAGGGCAAACAGTCTCTAATCAGTAACGTGCGAGGTACTTGATACCTCCCAAGGTGCGTGGGGTCCTAGGCTGCTCCAACCATTTCTTAGGTTCTATTTCTAGATAGATGCCGGTCACACAAGAAAAGTGCCCAGCAACTTCCCTCAACTACCTTTGTAATTTTTATGTAATTGATGACTGCACTTAATCTCCAAGGTTATTAATAGCCCTTCCCAAATAATGACCCCCAAGTCTTCCTAAGCCTTTGGAAGCGCCTGGTTGAAATTACAGTATTTCCTTTGCTGGCTGCCGGCCCCCTGCCCGCCCCACCCGGGTGACCAACACCGCGAGGCAAAGGCGCGCTCTGCTCACTTCCATGAAAGGTTTGGAATGGAGGCTTGGCCCCCGGGGCTCGAATCGCTCACTTCTCCGTTAGGTTAAGCTGGCCATCAGCCAGCTAGATTCGTGGTTCTTTCCGAACCCTCGGGGCGAAGAGGCTACCTGCGCGGCCCCTGGCCCCAGCGCGGCCCGCGGGACTTCGCGCAACAGTTGGCCTCTGCGAATGAGTGCCACCCAGAGGGGATCGGCCCGGCCACAGCCGCCAGCCTGGCGAGGAGGGGCGAAGGGCACCCGCCGCAAAGCTGCCTCCCCAGCGCTGCAAGAAGGGCTTTCACAAACACCCCACGCACCCCCAGCGCCGAAACCCGGTGAACTTTTTCACAGGCTAAGTGGTCTCTATTTGCATAACCATCTCCCAACTGAGATTCAGGCTTCCAGTAATCAGTCCTTTCAAAGATTTGTAATTTAAAGTGCAATTAACCCTTAAAATGAGGTGAGAAATAAAGAAAAAGGGGAAAATACCCTTCTCGTCCAACACGTTCCGGAAAGCAGGAGAGTCCCCAAAAGTCAGGGTTTGGAGGGGTGGAGAGTCGTTTGCTTTTTAAAGGCCACTTCGAAAGCCGCTGTAGCTACTAAAACTCCTAATCCGTGTCAGCGGTGGAAGAGAGGCGGGGAGTGGGTTTTTAAAGAACATCAATGAAACATCAAGTTCCACGTTTTGCGCCCCCCGGAACCTGGCAACCTCCACCCTCCCCGACCTCTCGTCACCCACACAACAAAGCGGGGAGCCCAGTAAGGAGTTCAACCCGGAAAAGGCGAGGGAGCCGGTGACACGCACTTTGCGGGCCAGAGTCCTCTGGGGCTTCCTGGGACCAGGGAGACCGCGGGAGGGGGGGTGGGGGAAGGAAGCTGAGCGCGGGAGTGCCGCCGGGTAACTCGGCGGCGCCCCTCCGCCTGCTGCGCACCCGGGGCCCCGGCGTCCGCAGCGAACGCTCTGCGTCGGGGCTCGCTCCGGCGCGCCTGCCCATTTCTCCGTCTCGGCTACCTGCGTCCGGCGCGAGGGGCGGCGGGGCGAGGGGGCTTCTGCGGCCCCTTCTCCCGTCTCTGCGCTCGCCTCCCGGGGGCTCCCACCTACCGTTGATCTCGTGCGTGGGGGCATCGTTCTTGTCGAAGCCTTTGGACACGTAGAGACGTCGCACTTCCGAGCAACTTTTCGACTTGAGCTCGGCAGCCAGCAGCGCGGCGCTGAGCGCGGCCAGGGTGCAGAGCAGCGCGGGCAAGACGAACCGTGCCATGGTGCCGGCCGGGGCGGACGCGCTCCCACCTTCGGGGCGGGACGGAAAGTGGCGGGCGGGCGCGGAGTCGGGGGCTCGCGAGCGGAGTCTGAGGGCGAGGGGAGTTGGAGGAGGAGGAGGAGAGCAGGAGGAGGAGACGCGGGGCGAAAAGTGGAGCTGGGCCTCGCGCGTCAGGCAACGGTCCCCGGTGCCAGGCGCCCAGCCCGGGGAGGAGGAGGAGGGCGTGGAGGCGGTGCGCGGCCCAGGGGAGCGGAGGCGCGGGCCGGTGACCTCCCGGCTCCGCGGGGGCAGCGATCGGGGCGGGCTGGCCGGAGGCGGGACAGGGGCGCGGGGAAGGAGGGGAAGGTGGCAGGCGCCGCGGGGGCCGAGGAGGGCGTGAGGGGCGGCGGCGGGCGCTCGCGGCGCGCGGCTCGGGCTGCCCGGCGCTGGTCCGCCCTGCTAGCTCGGCTCGGCTCGGCTCGCTCTGCCCTCGGCCGCACGGCTGTGCCCTCTTCAGCTCTGCCGCTGATTGACTGGCCGGCGTGCGCGGCGACGCTCGACAAACTTGGCCCAGCGGGCGGCACTCAGGGGGAGGGGGCGGGCGGCGGGGGGGCCGGAGACGGGCGGGAGCAAGCAGGGCCGGGACGGGAGAAAACCTGGAAGCGGGGTTGGATCCGGAGCGTCCAAATCCACTTCCTAGGGGGCCCGCACCGGGCGCGCAACGCGCCCTCGCGCGACACGCCCTCGCGCGACACGCCCCGCGGGACTCCTCCCTCCTTCCCTCCTCCCGGGAGGCGGGGAGCCTGCCCGCCGCCCCCAACCCGGGGAGGACAGGCTGACTTCTCCGGGGTGAAGGGCCCAAGTCCCAGGGGACCGAGAGCCTGGGGACTTGAAACCCACGTCCGAGTCCTAGGCCTTCTGCGCGCGGCCACCTGACCCGCTGCCCGCGGGCCAAAGCCGGACGGAGCCCTCCGGCCTCGATACCTAACCACCAGCACCCCTCCGCCGCTGCTACAGCCCCGCAGCCTGGAGGACGCCCGTAACCGCCCAGCTCCTGGGCTAGGAGTGGAAAGCGCTGGCATTAATCTCATTGTTTGAAGCGGGCACCAGAGGGACTTGGGACTCCGAGCTGGCCCTAGAGCCTCACCTGGCCTCCTCAGACCTGCTTTCCGTCAGACGGTGCTCATGGAGCACCGACCTGTTCGGAAACCTGGCAGGCATTCTCAGCACCCCCAGCCCCCAGTCTGGTTCTGCTACAGGTCTAATCAAACCCTGAAGCGGGAGAACCGCTGCCCTGCCAACCGCAGAGCAAATTCAGGGTTGACCTTGGAAACCTTCTGGCCCAAACCCCCCTTCACGAAGGGAAACTGGGGCCCAGAGAAGAGAAGCGACTTGCTGATAGCATGTAGCTGGCGCGGGGAGGGGGGGTGTCCAGAACCCGGGACTTGACTCCCAGGTCACATGGAATAAAGGTAGCCCAGGAACCCCCTTCCCCTCTGCCCTTAAGCCTCTTAACAGAGTCTCACACCTCTCTGGGTCCCTGTCTCCACTTAGCCACCTGAAAACTGGAAATGGGTGAGTCTTCCCACCTTCTAAGCTTTGTCACATTCCATTAATGAGTGTTTTTGAAGCTTCTAGGGCTCCTTTAATGAAGGGAACTGTGCAGATTGAGAACTTGTCATTACGGTTGTTATTGTTACAATCTGCTGTAAGAGGTTAGGGTGAGAAGCGCCTCAGACACCTCGGGAGTGTGCTGGGAACTGGGCAGATAAAAGGGGCTGGAACTTATTATTTGGCTAGACTCTCAATTCCCATAAAACTACATAGGGTGAAGATATGAACCATCATTACAATTATCACCCTCATGGGGTTTGTTGAGACTTCCTCCACTGTTGTTTGCGAACCTCCTTGACATGGTTGGCTGTGAGGAGCTGTAGAAAGTAGCTAGCTGTTGTTTTGAAAGCCCACTGCAGACTCTTCTACATTTTATTAACTCTTGGAGATCATCAGCAGAAACAGACAGACTGTGACCCGTCTATAAGTGGAACTTAAATTTCCAGTTTCGGTGGGTTGGCATAACATTTAACTCTGCAGCTAGGAGAGGAGTCTTTCTAAATAAGCAAACTCAGCTACAGATGAATTTCCTGCCATTTTCGAGGGACTTTCAAATGGTCCAGGTTTTCCTTAAACGGATAACCGTCAGGTCCTCAAGGCATTGCTAGGGCTTAGCCCAGAGCACTTTTAACTTTCATTGATTGATGCATTTACTCAAAGATGTTCTTTACCAAAAAGAATACGATCTGAGATGCAACCAACATTAATAATAAAATGAAACCCAGCCACTGTAAGCGGGAAAAAGATACTCCCAAACTATGAAGCCCAAATCAGAGAAAGCTTCCTTTCATACCAAGTCCAGGGGGAACTCATTCCTTGCCCCCCAGTTTACTCGGCTCTTCCTGTTCGTGTATTATTAACCAAAACTTAAGCCTTTTCCACCAGAAACAGTAACCTCTGGCTAGAAACGGATCTGGACAAGTCTGAACTTTACCACGCAAGCCAGGAACCCCAAGCCCTGCTTAGAGGCGGCTCCCACTTCAAAGCCTCCTTTCATGTAAATACAAACAGGGTGAACAACTGGCAATCTATGAAACAAATACCATCCAGCTTCCCTTTTCTGATGGCCCGAAGCTCCTCCTTCCCTCCCCCCACTCCCATTCCAGTTTTCCTGTGCTCCTTAGTAGAGGTGTATCTACTCTGTAAGTTCTCTGAATGCCAAAAAATGGATTGGGGTCTGCAGGTAGAGTGCAAGAATCAACAACTCCTCAGGATGATTAACCTTCATAGAGCCCTTTTGGGGGGCTTTTTAAAAACTGAGATAAAATACATTAACAGGGAATTCCCTGGTGGTCCAGTGGTTAGCACTCGCGCTTTCACTCCCAGGGTCTGGGTTCGATCCCTGGTCAGGGAAATAGGATCTCGCAAGCTGCCCAGTGCGGTCAAAAAAATAAAAGTACAATTTGGTGGCATTTAGTACGTTCACCATGGTGCACAACCATCACCGCTATCTAGTTCCAGAATATTTGCAGCATCTCAAAAGAAAACACATTAAGTCCATTCCCTCCTCTCCCCAACCCCTGGCAACCACTAATCTGCTTTCTGTCGCTATAGATTTGCCAATTCTGGACATTTCATATAAAAGGAATCATGTCACATGTGGCCTTTTGCATCTCGCTGCCTTCACTTAGCATCATGTTTTTAAGACCTATCCATGTGGTGGCATGTGTCAGCACTTCCTTTTTATGGCTGAATAGTATTCCATTTTATGGACACACCACTTTTGGTCATATAGTACTTTAGAGTTTGCAAAGTGCTTCCAGGCACACTCCCATACTGATTTTTAAAATAGATCAGCAGGGACTTCCCTGGTGGTCCAGTGGTTAAGACTTTGTGTTTCCAATGCAGGGGGTGCGGGTTTGATCTCTGGTCAGGGAACTAGGATCCCACATGACATGCGGCGTGGCCAAAAATTAATAATAATAATAATAATAAATCAACAAACTGAGTCGCACTGAAGTTATGTGGCTTGTCCACAGCCACAGAGCTCTTGAGTGGCTGAACCAAGACTGAAAAAAATGTAAGGCCTTCGACTGAATCTCATATGAGTGTCCCTATTTCAGATTAATAAATGTTTATTGAGCACCTACTATGTGCCAGATGCTGCCCAGCCCTAGAGAGAGGGGAGATATACAAGCCGAAAGGAGTTCACGGTTTACTGTATTTGTGGTACAGTTGGTCTTCCCAGGTGAGGCATTTCTCCTGATGCAGCACTGGGGTATGTTCGCTGGTGGGCAGAGGGAACAAAGTATGTACTCGCTGCTGCTGTCCTTAAGAATTAGTTGAGTTAGGTCCATTCTCTCAGCTTTGGGGGCCCTTCTCTTGGCCTGCTGGGAAACTGCTTTGGTTGCCAAATAGGCGGACAAAGAGTAGGATGTGGCTTCCTCCCTTAGGATAGGTCTCGTGGGCCTCTAGTCTCTCCGCCTACCATACCCAGCCCTCCCACAGCCATCAGAGTGAGCCTTTGACATCACTTGAACAATGTCCCTCCCCTGCTTAACCCTGCCCCTCTCCCCCATGGTACCCTATTGCTTTCCAGGTCAATTGCCAAGTCATTCAGCAGCTCTGGATCTTTGCTATTGGGCCATAGTCTACATTACCAAGTTTCTCACTGGGCCTCCCCAACCCTGTATCATTCTCCATCATGCCTGCATCCTCACCCTGCCCCTGCTGGGAATACCTTTTCATTCCCCTCCATTCTTTGGACAAGTCCTTCATACTCATCCATCAAAACTCAGCTGAGATAGTACCTCTTCTTGGAAAGCCTTCATAGATCCCCCCAAGCAGAGCTAATGGCTCCTGCTTCTAGGCCTCCAGAGCACTGTCTTTATAAAATGACTACCACATTTGTGCCTTAGCAGAGGTCCTGATTTCTCTGAGGATTCCTCGACCCCCAGCCTCCAAAAGGCTTTTTAGGCTTTTTGTGTAAATGCCTGTTGCCTGCAAGGGTACAGGTTCACCTGTTGGGCAGTATCCCAGGGGAAAACAAAGACCTAGAATTGTATCTGAAATCTCCTGATTTGGGGTTTTTTTTTGGCCAGGCAGCACAGCTTGCAGGATCTCAGTTCCCCAACCAGGGATTGAACCCGAGCCACTGCAGTGAAAGCAGCAAATCCTAACCGCTAGACCACCAGGGAACTCCCTGAAATCTCCTGATTTTTAAATTAGTTACTACTTCAGAACTCTTAAAAGCTTCCTGGACAAACTCAGCCTGTCTTCAGCCTAGATCTCACCAAGTAACTTTCCTCCCTCGCTCCACACCTCTCCTTTTCAAGCAACCAAGCAAGTAGTGTCTTCTTACCACTTCCTGTGAACAAAAGTTGGTTCTGCGAAGGCCCTAGAAACTTGAAAGACCAGAGGCCTTTGAGGAGCTGGCATCTTGCCTGGGGAGGTAAGATCCATATCTACATGGAGAAAGACACTGGCGAAGAAAGCAGAAGGCAATGCACGTCCCTCAGGACACTCATCCCAATTTGCTGTTTGTTTCATGGTGGCCCCTCTCCTCTTGGTCCCTCTGGAAATTTACAGAAGTACCAGTAATTGAAGGATCAGCCACTTTGAAGAAGTTGATGTGTGTGGTCTGTTCCTGTCTCCTTACTCCTGACCTCCCTTCAGTATTCTCTCTCTAGTGCCTGAAGCTTGCCTTACTTTTCCTTCTCTCTCAGAGAGCTCATCTGTGTTTACAGCTTTAATCACCAACTCCAGGTACCTAGCCACCATACTTTCCTGTTTGTGTCAGGGTTGCCCCCAGTTTTCCCCAGGCCATAGGTGCCACACTCCCTCTCTCTGTATTAAAAACTTGGACTGAGTCTTCCTTTCCACTCAACAGCCATCAACCTTTGTCCAAGTTCTATTACCTTTTGTCTGGACTGGTAGAGCCAACACCTAACAGATCTCCAACTTCTCCCTCCATCCATCCACCCAGGGGCTGTCACAGAATCAACTTCCAATAACATGATTTCCAAGTGTCACACTCTTTGGT